GGTGCCTGTAGTCCCAACTACTTGGGAGGCTGAGGCAAGAGAATTGCTTAAGTCCAAGAGTTTGAGGTTGCTGTGAGCTGTGATGCCAAGGCATTCTACTAAGGGCGACATAGTGAGAATCTGTCTCAAAAAAAAAAATAAAAATAAAAAAAAGTAAAATAAATTTGAAAGTATTGAAATCAAAGTATGTTCTCTAACTACAAAAAAATGAAACTAGAATATGTTAACATAAGAAAATTGGAAAAATTCACATGTATATGGGCATTTTAAAACATACTCCTAAGTAACCCATGGATGAAAGAAAAATTCCTAAGATAACTAGAAGATATTTTGAGAAGAGTAAAAAGGAACACAAAACATAACAAAATTTATATGATACAGCTAAAGTTGTGCTTTAGGGGAGATTTATAATTGGATGGCAATATTAAAAAAGAAGAAAATCAAATAACTTCATCTTCAACTTTAAGAAACTAAAAAGAAGAGTACATTAAGTCTATAGCAAGAAGAAAGGAAATAGTAAAGATTAGAAGGAAAATAAAATACAGACTAAAAAAAGAGAGAAAAATCAACAAAATCAGAAGTTGGTCTTTAAAAAGACCAACAAAATTGATAAACTTTCCGGTATACTAAGAGAAAAGAGAGAAGACAAAAATAACTAAGACCAGAAACAAAAGTGAGGACATTACCATCAACTTTACAGAAATAAAAGGATTATTAGCAAATATGAAGGATGTCCTATACCAACAATTTAGATAACCTAGATGAAATGGACAAATTCCTACAAGGACACAAACTATTTAACTTGTGGAAGCAGATAATCTGAACAGAACCTTAACAAGAGACATAAAAATTTTCCATAAAGAGGTCTGGGTGCAGGGGCTTGCGCCTATAACCCTAGCACTCTGGGAAGCTGAGGCAGGAGGATCAGTTGAGCTCAGGAGTTTGAGACTAGCCTGAGCAGGAGCAACACCCCATCTCTAATAAAACAGAAAAATAACCGGGGTACCTGTAGTTCCAGCTACTTGGGAGGCTGAAGCAGGAAGAAAGCTGCATCATATAAATTTTCACTAATGAATTCTATCAAATATTTAAAGAGGAAGAAATACCAATCCTTCCCAAAATAGAAGAGTGAACATTTCCTAATGCCTCTCATTCTATAAGGTCAGTATTACCATGACAGAAAAATAAAAGCCATCCAAAAAAATGAAAACTACAGACAAATATACCTTATGAATGTAGATGCAAAAGTCTCCAACAAAATACTAGCAAATGAAATGCTGCAGCATATAAAAAGGATATATATATCCTTTAACCTATTGGGATTTATTGCAGGGAGGTACAGTTGGTTTAACATATGAAAAACAATCAAGGGGATATACCATATAAATTAAATAAAGGATAAAATCCACAGATCATTTCAATAGACACAGAAATAACATTGGCACAGCAAGAAAATAAATAAAAGGCTTGTATAGTGTATAGGAAGAAGTAAAACTTCTCTATTTGCAGAAGCCACAAAACTTAGGGCTAAATAAGTTGAGCAAGGTGGCAAGATCAATACAAGTAGTCTGTGGGTTTTGAACAAGACAGGTTCTGTAGTTTTTTTTTTTTTTTACTTAATTTAGAATCATATTTAATAAAATATATTTACTTCCAAACATAGGTATCTCAGTGTTGATGCTTAAATCGCTGCTTGGTCTCATCAAGGTTACCTTGTTAGCATAAGTTGGCTATAATTTTTAAATCTGCTGTGAGCCTTGTTCGTGCATTTTAAAACTTCTCACTTGTTTTGCCTAATTTTCTTTCTTTCTTTTTTTTTAATTGAATGGTAACTATGTACATTAATGCACTTCTGGGGTACAGTGTAGTGTTTTCACATACAATTTGAAACATTTCCATCAAACTGGTTAACATAGCCTTCATGTCATTTTCTTAGTTATTGTGTTAAAACGTTCATATTCTACTTAGATTCATTTGTACCCTTGTAAGAAAAATATGGAACGCTTCACGAATTTGCGTGTCATCCTTGCGCAGGGGCCATGCTAATCTTCTCTGTATCATTCCAATTTTAGTATATGTGCTGCCGAAGCGAGCACTTTTTTTTTTTAGAGAGAGTTTCACTTTGTTGCCCATGGTAGAGTACTATGGCATCACGGCTCACAGCTATCTCCAGCTCTTGGGCTTTAGGCGATTCTCTTGCCTCAGCCTCCCGAGTAGCTGGGACTACATGTGCCTGCCACACACCCAGCTATTTTTTGTTGCAGTTTGGCCAGGGCCGGGTTTGAACCCGTCACCCTCAGTATATGGGGCCAGCACCTACGCACTGAGCCAAAGGTGCCACCCAGGTTCTATAGGTTTATTCTTAAATTGAATCTGCGTGTAAGATGGAACAGGTAAATTTACCTATTATTTATAATAGCCTCCATTTATAAGTGTGAGTTATACATAAGTCAGATATTTGTAACTCAGGGACTGCTTGTATACAACAGTCAATTTTCTTTCTTTCTTTTTTTTTTTT